ACAACCAGTTATTAGATTTAGGGGGCAATTACTTTTTCACGTAGTGCCAGGGAGGTTCGGACAGCTTTTTTCCCTTAATAAATGAAATCATTATTTCAAAATTGCATTTTGTATTTACTCTGGTTATCTTTGTGTAATATTAAAATTTGTTTGATGATCTGAATCATTCAATTGTGACAAATATGCAAAAAATAAAAACAAAACAGGAAGGAGGCAAAATCTTTTCACAGCACTGTATATATATGTATATGTGTGTGTGTGTGTGTGTGTGTGTAAATAAATTGTATATTCATAATTATATTATATAATTATATATATTTAGAGTACTTTAATGTTTAATACAGCCATTTGTGTATATATTTATTATAATATATTAATAATTATGTTTTAATTTTATAGTAATGAGAATTTTGATGGGAAGTGTGCTTAATAATTTTATTATTATTATTATTTTAATAATTCAGAAACACTTATTACTCCAATAGACATTTTATCATCCAAAATATCTTTTTTTTCCTTCCTTTTATGTGTGTGTGTGTATCTTTTAAAGCTTTTAAAGTGATCAGATCTGAGATATATGATATCAAAGTGATTATCAAATGAATTTATCAGCTATTTATAGGTCAAATCAAGTTATTGTTGTATGTAAATGTCAGAATATGAGGTGTCTAACTAAATGTCTTCTCTAAATTGCCAATATTGACACCTGTTTTGCATATGGTGTCTATCAGTCTGTTTATATAAGCAAAGCTTCTAATCTAAACCGCAGTATGAAACTTGTTTTCATTGTCTCCAAGGCAACGAAAATGAAGAACTCGGCAAGTCTGCGACGTGGAATCGAAAGCTCTGTTTCCGGATGAGTCCTGCTGATCTGCAGAGCTGAACTCCTGCTCCAGCTGTTCCAGGATCTGTGTGGAGCGACTCGGATGTGAAAGCATCTGCAGGACGGAGGGGCGGAGCTGAGATGTCAATCAGAAGCGCTGAGGGCGTGTCCATCATGCAGGCCTTAGCCATGACCGTGGCTGAGATACCTGTGTTCCTGTATTCCACCTTTGGACAGGTACACAGCACAACACACCTCTGTGTGTCTGATCACACGCCTCACAGCTGCTCCTCTCTTCTTATTCTGCAGCTACACACACACACACAGAAGAATGCTGATACATTACAAGACTTGGGCTTTAGTGAAAGTTAATTTTTTTTCTTTGTAGAGATTGCACTACTCTATAAATATTTTTTTATGTTTCTGTTTTTAGCTTTAATTTATTTTTATTTCATTTTAGTTTGAGTTATTTCAGTACTTCATCCTATTTGTACAGATTTGTAAGTTTTCTAAGTTTAAGTTTTCATTTAATATGTATATTTTATGTTATTTATGCTTTATTTGAGTTACCAACATTTTTTTAGTAGTTTTAGTTTATAACAATTACACAGATTTTTAACACGTTTTTACAATTTTGTGACCATTTGTATGAAATTAATCTTTTGAGTGCTTTGAGTGAATGTGCGAGTATTGAATTTTTTTAATGCCCACAATTTTATAATATAATATAAATTATTGTAATTTAAAATTATATTTAAAAAAAAAATTAAATAACATAAAATTATAATTTCAGTCTTAAATTATGCAATTTGTTGATGTTTTCAGTATTTTTGTTAAGTAGTTTGTTTTTTCTATAATAAATGCAAAGTGAAAACAGATAATAACTGATTCCCATTTTCTTCTCTCCTTTTCCCTTTCTCTGTCCCATCTGTCTTTTCTCAGTCTATATTCTCTCAGCTGAAGTTGAGCCCTAGTCTGAAGAAGGTGCTGTTTGCCACGGCTCTGGGCACCGTGGCTCTGGCACTGACCGCGCATCAGTTGAAGAGACGGGGCAGGAAGAGGAAGCAGGTAGTCAGTAAAGAAGCTCAGAAACCTATGGGCGTCCCAGAACAGCTGCTCCGAACCAGTCGGCCAGCCTCGCTCAAGAGAGGTGAGCATATTCACATGTTTTGCTTTTAAAGATGCTGCGGTATACACCTTTGCAGTATTTTAGTTTGTTATTTCATTTTAAATAAAACATTATAATATAAACTATAATGTTTATTAAAAAATCATAAAACTATAAACTATAATATATATATATGAAGTGAATCATGCTACTTTAAATGAATGTGCGAGTATTTTTTATTTTTTTTAATGTCCATAATTTTGTATTATAATATAAAATATTATCAAATAAAGCAATAAAGTAAACCCGTGAAGCTGTGGTTTACAGTGAATTTATAACAGCTAAAGTGTGTTGTTAAAGGAACATGCCACTATTTTTGAAAATAGGCTCATTTTCCAACTCCCCTAGAGTTAAACAGTTGAGTTTAACCGTTTTCGAATCCATTCAGCCGATCTCCGGGCCTGGCGGTAGCACTTTTAGCTGTAGCTTAGCATAGATCATTGAATCTGATTAGACCGTTAGCATCTCGCTCAAAAATGACCAAAGAGTTTCTATATTTTTCCTATTTAAAACTGGACTCTTCTGTAGTTACATCGTGTACTAAGACCGACGGAAAATGAAAAGTTGCGATTTTCTAGGCCGATATGGCTAGGATTAGTACGTTAGTTATATAGTTCCTAGCCATATCGGCCTAGAAAATCTCAACTTTTCATTTTCCGTCGGTCTTAGTACACGATGTAACTACAGAAGAGTCAAGTTTTAAATCTAAAAATAGTGGAGTATTCCTTTAAAACCCCTTAGCTGTTATAAATTCACTGTAAACCACGGCTTCACGGGGCTTATTGCTTTTATAAAACTGTTATTCCATATACGTAGTAAGGTTTCACAAAATAAAACAGAGCAAATAAAGTGTAATGATATTAATAAAAACAGTATTCTTCCACCAAACAATGTAGTTCCTCAGAAACAGTCGTGGTTCCAACAAAGTGGTTGCCGAGCAGCACACAGAAGTAAACAAAGGTGTGTGTTTGTAGAGTAATTTACAACAGCTTCAAACGTGGCTCAGCCAATCAGAATCAAGGACCGGAACTATCCGTTTTATAATGATAATTTTATTACACCAAAACAGTCATAAATTACTTTTGTGACCATTTTCATTAAATGAATCAGGCTACTTTGAGTGAATGTGTGAATATTACAATTTTGAATGTCCATAATTTAATATTACAATATAAAATTATAATTTTATAAATATGAAATAATATAAAATTGTAAATTTAGTCAAGGTGTATTGCACCAAAACATACATGCATTAGTTTTTGTGACCATATTCATGAAATGAATCAGGACACTTTGGAGTATTTAAATTTTTAACGTCCATATTTTTGTATTATAATATACAATTATAATTTTATAAATCTTTAAATAATATAAAATTAGAATATTATTCAAGGTTTCTTGCACCACAGTCACACTGCAGTCTCTCAAACAGTCGTAAATTAGTTTTTGTGACCATTTTCATGAAATTAATTAGGCTACTTTGAGTGAATGTGCCAGTATTTTAAAATTTTTATGTCCATAATTTTATATTATAATATAAAACTATAATTTTAGGTTTAAAAAAATTAGTCAGGCTAATTTGAATGAATGTGTGCGTATTTATTTATTTTTTAATGTCCATAATTTCATATTGTAATATAAAATGTTATAAAATTTTAATTTTCTAAATATGAAATAATATAAAATTATAATTGTAGTCTAGGTTTATTGCACCAAAAACATAGAATTAAAATTAGTTTTTGTGACAATTTTCATGAAATTAAACTTTGATTTTAATACTTTGAGTGAATGTTAGAGTATTATAATTGTTTAATGTCCATAATTAAAAAATTGTATCAATATGAAATAAGTTTCTATAAAATTAATGCCAATAATTTTATATTCATGAAATTAATTAGGCTGCTTTGAGAATATGTGTATATAAACTACATCGATCAAAATCATCGATGCAGTTTTTTTATGATTTGTCCCCTATACATACATTTGCTGTTGTTTTGTTATTTAGTTTGTTCATTGGTCTGTCTCCAGGGCCGGTTCCAGGGCGTCAGATGATGAGTCCCAGCACCCGCAGTAATGACACTCTCAGCGGCGTCTCGTCTCTCGCGCAGAGCAAACACTCGAGCTCTTCACACAGCATCGCCTCTGTGCGTGAACCTCAGAGCTGCACACACTGTCTTCCTGTTTACTTCTCAACAAACTCTTATTAAAGAGTTCAACTAACAGTTTTTAACCATTTCGTTTGGATCTGCCTCAGATGCGAGTCCCCTCCTCTCCCAACCAATCAGTGAACACTGGGATGCCGTGGGAGGCGGAGCCAGTGGCAGAGGAGCCGGGAGTCGGGGAGGATGCCAACGCTGAGAACCTCTATCTCATAGGTAATGTAGTTTACTATTGCGATCTATTGTCTCTTCTTCCATGCTACATACTTTTTCACATTCTACACTACCATTCAAATGTTTGGGGTCGGTAAGATTTCGTTTTTTGGATGAAATTAATACTTTTTTATTCAGCAAGGACACATTGAATTGATCAAAAGTGACAGTACATATATTTATAATGTTACAAAAGATTTTTATTTCACATAAATGCTGTTCTTTAGAACTTTCTATTCATCAAAGAATCCTGAAAAAAACATGGTTTCCACAAATATTTGAAGCAGCACAACTGTTTTCAACATTGATAAAATCGGAAATGTTTCTTGAGCAGCAAATCAGCATATTAGAATGATTTCTGAAGGATCATGTTACACTGAAGACTGGAGTAAAGATGCTGAAAATCACAGGAATAAATGACATCTTAAAATATATTACAATAGAAAACAGTTATTTTAAGTTGTAATAATATTTAATATTTTTTTGTAGCAATATTGCTGATTTTACGATATTTTTGTTTAAATAAATGAAGCCTTGATGAGCATAAGAGACTTATTAAACATTAAAAAAAGCTCACTGACCCTAAACTTTTGAACAGTAGTGTATTTTAAAATTGAAATATACATAAAAATACATTTTAAATTTAACAATTAAATCGACAATATACAGCACAGCACATATGCATGTGTGCAGCTAATGTTGATCTTCCTCCTGCAGGGATGGAGCTGTTTGAGGAAGCCCTGCGCAAATGGGAGCTGGCTTTAAACATCAGACACAGAGCTCATTCTTGTGCATCTGGATCACACAGTCTCGGCCCGCAGGGGTCAGAACTCGTGGAGCGTCATTCGGTAAATATCTCTTATTCGTAAACGTCCCTACTAGGGATGCACCGATATCACTTTTTTCAGTACTCGCCCGATACCGATCGAGTACGAGTACAGGAGACCAGTATCGGGCCCGATACCGATACCAGTATCGGTATCGGTGCATCCCTAGTCCCTACCCTACAGAATACTGTAGGGATGTCAGGAGCTGCTAAATAAAAACACACCATTTGATTTTCAGCCTGAGCTTCATCATCATCAGTTTGCGAAGAAGCTTGAGTCTCTGCTGCACCGAGCGTATCACCTACAGGAAGACTTCGGCAGCACCATCCCGCCCGAAAGCCTCCTGGCTGACCTGGGTAAGACGCGCACAAACACATGCTGACGTCAGCTGTGAGTGTTTTCAGCTTCCTAAACCAAGCCGTTTGTGTGCAGAGAGTGAAGCAACGCTGATCCTGCCCACACTAGGGAGTTCCCATCGCACCCGAGACGACGATGCCTTAACAGTCACGTCAGACGACTCGTTTTTCTCTGCTGCTGAGGTCAGGACACACACACACACACACACACACACACACACTTAAGGTGTGTTTTCTCCTGCATGTATGTGATTTCACTTCCCTCTTTATCTCTGTAGTTGTTTGAGACGTTCTCTCTAGAGGACACGTATCATCCTCTGAAGCCGGCAGCGCTGTATGAAGAAGCCCTGAGTTTAGTGAAGGATGAAGGCGTGGCCTGCAGATCACTGAGGTGCTGCATACTGACAGCTTAAACCCTACATACTGCATAATGACACCCTAAATAAATCCTGCACACTACATACTACTACCACTACCACTTTTGTAGTATTTACATTTTTATTGTCCATAATTTTATATTATAATAAAAACTTAATGGTTTAACATTTGAAAATGAGACATTAAGAAATTAAGTATTTATATAGTATATAATTTTAATTAGTCATTCATAATTAGTAATATAGTAATTCAGTTTCAGTTGCACTGTAAAATAAATGTACTATTATTTTTTTTCTTAAATACTTTTTAAGATACATATTTAAAATATATAAAAATATTTTATAATATATTACAGTGAAATATTACAATAGTAGTTTTTTCAGATTTTGTTTAATATTTTAATTTAGCAGCAGTAATAATAATTTTATTTTACAGTATTATTATTGTTATATTGATATATAGTCACAATATTTTTTGACCAAATTGAAAAAATAATAATAATTCAGTTTATTCATTATTATTTATTAGTATAAAATATATTATGTATTATTTTTGAAGGTCACACACGTTTTTATCCATGTTTTAATTTAAACCGTAAACTTCTTTTTTGCGTCACTTTCATCCAGTTCAAATTTCAATTCAGTTATCACTGTTTTTGATGACAAATTTGAATGAAATCATAAAACACAGAATCCAGAAAAATTAAGACAACATTTCTGAAAAAATAAAAAGTATTAATATTATTAAAAATATTATTGTGTCAGTAAATTAAATAATTTTTTAAAGGCTTAAGAATTCAGTTGATTTGATATCATTTTTGATTATTAAAATGTAATTAAAATATAAAAAATTGAATCCAGGAAAATTACGACGAAAAATAAAACAGATTTCATAGGGCCATATTATTAAAATGTTAATAAATGATTAAATTGGTAAAGTTTTTATAGGACCCTAAATATCCTAAACCCTTCACTCCACTCCATTAGCACTGATTCTAAAGTGAGTACGTCTGCACATACAGTACAGATGTCCTCCTCACACATCATTCTCCTCTGGGATTGGAGGATTTCCGTTGTAGCTCAGGGAGCAAGGACTGATGGGAAAACACACTCTGTGTCGTTTTTGTGCCTCTGTTACAGAACTGAACTTCTGGAGTGTTACAGCGATGAGGACTTCCTTGCCAAACTGCACTGCGTCCGCCAGGCCTTCCAGGTCAGCACACTCACACTCACACACTCTCCCACACACACACACACACACACACACACACACACACTCTCTCATACACACACACACACATAGGGGAATGGGGCTGTTGGTGAGGTCTGTGTGTGTTTGTCGTATCCGTAGGTGCTGCTGCTGGATGAGACGCACAGGATGTTCTTCATGGATACGGGGAAGCAGATAATATCGGGACTTCTGGCCAAAGCCAACAAGGTGCTTCAAAAAAGAATGGAATAATTAAAATGTTTTTATGATTTTGAAAGCAGTTTCTTCTGCTCACCAAGGCAACATTTATTGATCACAAAATACAGTAAAAACAGTAATATTGTGAAATATTATTACAATTCCAAATAGCTAGTTTTCTATGTGAATATATAGTAAAATGTAATTTATTTCTGTGATCAAAGCTGAATTTTCAGCATCATTACTCCAGTCTTCAGTGTCACATGATCCTTCAGAAATTATTCTAAGATGCTGATTTGCTGCTCTAGAAACATTTCTGATTATTATCAGTGTTGAAAACAGTTGTGCTGCTTCATATTTTTGTGGAAATTAAGCTTTTGGAAGCTTAGGAATAAATTACATTTTATTTTCTAATAATATTTTACAATATTACTGTTTTTATTGTTTTTTAATCAAACAAATGCAGCCTTAGTGGGCAGAAGAGACTTCTTTCAAAAACATTAAAATCGTAATTATTTCAAACTATTGGCGGTAGTTTTTATATCATTTTTTCCCCTCATAAAACAACATGCGTTGAAGAATTGTGCACATTATAAGACTAGAGTCAATTAATAAATGAAAAAGTTAATTAAAACATCTTTATCTGTTGATTTTTAGATTAAAATGAGATTTATCATCTACTTTCACGCGCGTGCGTGTGTGTGTGTGTGTGTGAATGTTTAGAGTCCGAAGGCATTTCTGGAGAGTTATGATGACATGCTGCAGTACACACAGAGAGAGGAGACGAGGCCCGTTACCAAGATGGAGCTGGAAGGACGAGGGGTTTGTCCTGTTTATCTGTCTGTCTGTCATTCTTTCTTTTATCGTCCAGTTCCATAGGCTAAATGATATTTATTTATTTATTTAGTCATTTAGCAGACGCTTTTATCCCATACACATTTATAAATTCAATATATATATTATTTCATTTCCATTGTTTGTTGAAGTATTAAAATAACTCAAATTAAATAAAACTAAAACTTAACAAAAGACCTATACAGACATAATAAATTCAGACATAATTTAAATTTAAATATTAATAAATACTATAATAATATATAAATAACTTCCTGGCTCTCTGGCCTTATAGAGGTTTGACCTTTGACTTTGCTCTAGGTGGTCTGTATGAACTTCTTTGACATTGTGCTGGACTTTATCCTCATGGATGCGTTTGAAGATCTGGAAAGTCCTCCATCTTCAGTGGTGGCCGTTCTAAGGAACCGATGGCTCTCGGACAGTTTCAAAGAGACGGTACGCAAATGTTAGCACTCCAACTCGAATCCAGACATACTGGATCTACAAAACTGAGAATAAAGGTTCCATTTAGAACCAAAAAGGAGAATAAGATTGTTTCTTAAAGGGTTAGTTCACCCCAAAATGAAAATTCTGTCATTAATTACTCACCTTCATGTCGTTTCAAACCCGTAAGACCTTCGTTCATCTTCGGAACACAAATTAAGATATTTTTGATGAAATGTGAGAGCTCTCAGACGTATGTCCTGCATAGACAGCAACGCAGCTGTAATGTTGTCAGACACAGAAACGTAGTAAGGACATCGATAAAACAGTCCATGTGACGTCTTCCGCCATTTTAGAGAGTATCACAATGCATACGCACGCTTTCCCCCAAGCGTAAACAACGCTGATTACGTCGATTACATTCATGCGCGCGCTTTCTCATCCGAACGTAAACAACGCTAATTACGCTGATTACGCTCTTGAGTACTCTCCAAAATGGCGGAAGACGTAACTCGGGGGAGAAGAATTGTTAAATAAATTGTTATTTTTGTTTTCTTTGCGCTCAAAAAGTATTCTCGTAGCTTCGCAAAACTGAAGTTAAGCCACTGATGTCACATGGACTGTTTTACCGATGTCCTTACTACGTTTCTGTGTCTGGGAACATTACAGTTGTGTTGCTGTCTATGCAGGGTCTGAGAGCTCTCACATTTCATCAAAAATATCTTAATTTGTGTTCCGAAGATGAACGAAGGTCTTACGGGTTTGGAACGACATGAGGGTGCACAGAATTAATGTAATTAATGACAGAATTTTAATTTTGGGGTGAACTAACCCTTTAAGTATTGTTATTCTCCAGTTGTTTAGAAACCATCTATGTTCTGGTGCTTTAAAGATGACAGAACAGAAAACAAAACCTGTAACGACCCTTTTTAATAAAGAACTAGCTTTTCTATGTCTTGATCTGTCTCTGTATTTCCTACTTTCTGCTTAATCGTTCTGTGTCTCTCTGTTCACACAAGGCATTAGCTACAGCCTGTTGGTCTGTGCTAAAAGCCAAAAGGAGATTGCTAATGGTGAGTGTGAAAAACAAAACATGACATTATATGATCTAGAATCAGACCACACCAACGTGTTTTGTGTTTGTTGCTCAGGTTCCTGACGGTTTTATTGCCCATTTCTATGCCATCTCTGAACACGTGAGTCCAGTTCTGGCTTTCGGGTTTCTGGGCCCCCGGCAGCACCTCAGTGAGGTGTGCACCATATTCAAGGTAAGACCTTCTCCGTGTTCTCCACGCTCCTCCGTTATACCTGAGCTAACCCTCCCGGTGATCCAGAAACTCCTGTAATCCAGATCAGCACATAATCTGATGCTAATCTAATCTCAGTGACACACTGATGCCTGCGATCAGATCATGAACCCGGTCAGAGAATAGATACAGAACTTAAAAAGGTCTTCAAATTCACGCTTCCACAAATTAAGGCCTAAAAGAGTCTTAAATTCATAAAGTCGTGGCTTTATATGTTGCATACACATCCTTAAATCAAGATACATTTACTTGAGATGCAAAATGAAAATATTAACATATATTTTTTCTCGTTTTAATCATAAACTCAATTCATTTTGATAAATTTCTCATAAAGACTTATTATTTATGCCATTTTGCTTCTCAAATAAATTATCTTTAGACATTTGCACTGGAAAACAAGACCAAAAATACAGATTTTGCTGTCTATCCATCCATCCATCCATCTTAGGAAACATTTATAAAATGCAAGTATCATTTATTGTAAAGAAAGACCAGGTTTGTTTGGTTTGAAATGCTAAAACAATTGAAAACGTTCAAAAGGTTGAGTTTTTTTAAGTTTCTTCTGCTCACCAAGGCTGCATTTATTTGATCAAAAATACAGTAAAACACAGTAATTTGGGGAAATAATATTACAATTTAAAATAAGTGTTTTCTATGTGAATATATGTTAAAATGTAATTTATTTCTGTGATGCAAAGCTGAATGTTCAGCATCATTACTCCAGTCTTCAGTGTCACATGATCTTCAGAAATCATCCTAATATGCTGATTTGCTGCTCAAGAAACATTTCTGATTATTATCAATGTTGAAAACAGTTGTGCTGCTTCAAAGTTTTTGTGGAAACGGTGATACATTTTATTTTTCAATATTCTTTGATGAATAGAAAGTTCAAAAGAACAGCATTTATTTGAAACAGAAATCTTTTGTAATAAAAAAGCCTAAATAAATAAATGTTACGAATGTCTTTACTGTCACTTTTGATCAATTTAACGCATCCTTGCCAACTACATACATCCACTAAAAACCACCCAGACACCAGTTGATTGAAAAACATTGAGACTTCAAACACGATGAACTCAAGTTATATCTAAATCTGATTTAAATGAAGGTTTATTAGTCTACTACTGTACTCTGTGGTTACACATTCTCCTTTGGTCTCCACAGCAACAGATTGTTCAGTATCTGAAGGACATGTTTGACCACGATAAGGTGCGTTTCACGTCCGTCTCGTCTCTGGCCGAAGACATCCTCAGTCTGTCCCACAGACGAGCGGACATCCTGGTGGGTTACCTGGGCATTGACAGTCAACCTGAGACCAATGGAGCTTTACCCAAGAGCCCCTGCCAAGCCAACAGCGGACAGCAGGACTGAGGTGCACAATCCTAATCTAACCTGCTAGTTTTAAAAGAGACCAGACACCAGGTCTCACTTAGCTATTCGTCACGGTCTAATCAACGGGACTATAAAGTACATTCATATAAAAGATTGATTATTCAGACAGATAAACCACTACAGACTCACCTGTGTGGTCTCTTTCTGAAGAACCCAAGAAGGAACTGAATGAAACCATCTTTTAGCCAAACATGCAGCCTGGTGTTGAGTTGCAGCTCTTCTGAATCAAACCCACACCGTATCGACGATGCCTCCTACGTCGAAACGCTAGGTTTTGGTTGTTCTCCGGGTCGGCTTGCAGATTTTCGTGTGTGAATGCGTGTCGTTGAGCGCTTGTGTTTGTGCCAATGGCCAAATAAAGTCTTGCACTGAATCTTGGGTAGCACTGAACACAATCAAGAGAGAGAATCGAGACAGATTTGTGACCTTCAGTGTAAATCTCTCAGCACATTTGGCCAGTTTGAGAGCGTTTCGAAGAGAGACTCGCACAGGAAGTGCATCATTCAAGAGTAAAACAGGATGTCGTGGTCTGGATCACACTAGCTGAGCTCAATTGTGTCCTTTGTTCTCACCCTCACAATATATTAGTCCCAGTGTTCATCAGAGCGATATTTAATAAGACATGTAGGCCTGTTGGTTTGTTATATTTTCTGTCATCATACTTCATCCTTGATTTATATACCTTGTTTTTGTCCTTCATCGATATTCAGGACTAAAATAGCCAATCTACTATTCTGTTATATAGATATTCATTATGTATTATAAATTGAAATCAGCAGTGGTATTGGGTCAAATAGGTCACAATTGTAGAGCACAGTTAGGTGAGTAGGAATGATCAATGCTAATTTCATATATGTGCTTTGACTTGTTAGTTCAGTCCTTCAAGCTGTGGTTGTTAAACTCTGTCAGCAACATCTGTGCCATTGTGATCATTTCGATGCCGCCTTAATTTTGTGAAAACAACAATAAGATGCATATTCCGTTACACTTGAAGTCTATGGGGAAAATTGCCTCATAGTTTCAATTAAAGTGGATCTTTTTGTTTGTTTTTGAGTTATTTGTTCTATACAATATTGTAATATAGTATACATTTCTTCTGTGGCAGTGGCACAGATGCTGTCGATAGAGTTTAAATTGTATTCAACCCATGAGAAAAAATTCAAAACAAACAACCAAACAGCATCTTGCAGGTTTTTGATTGGCTTAAACATATAGTCATATAGTCATGACCTGCAAAAGCATATATTAGCGAGCAAAACCAGCTAATAAATGCGCTACAACTTTTAGAAAAAATTCTGGTCATTTTAAACTGAATATGCATGAAATGTCTACAACAATCCTCAAAATCGCTGAGCCTTTACAAAACTTGACCATGTTCCTTAATTGTGCACAGGAGGCATTTGTGAAATTAGGTGTTAGGATCGTTATAGTGTTTCTTTCCTCCTCATATTGACTATTTAAAGTGTCTTGCACTTTATTCGTTCAAAATATATATACAGATGCTCATTTTCTCTATTTTGATCAAAATAATAATAGACTTGTTAACTAGCTTAAATGTAGTGCATTTGTCATTTTTTTCTGTTTAATTACATTTTAAAAAAATTTGGACAGATGTGTAATTTATATGAAAACTGAAATGTATAGGTATTTAAAATATCAACATTGAGGGGTTATGAGTGATTGGTTGTGCCTCTGTTATTATCTAATATTATATATTCTTTTTGCCTTTATTAAATGTGCTTTAAATACACAAGTGCACACACACTATTAGATCTCTGCCCTGCTTAAAATTCAAATCATAACCAGAACTATCTGCACCAACTTGGATGCAAAGATATAATTCTTAATAATAACTTATAATGATAACTTTATTTGCCTGATTATTATTGTTAATTGAATAACCAAGATTGTGCTCCTCTAATTTCATCATAAATTGGGTTTATTCCTATTTAATTTTATTTTCAGTGTTCAAATGTGAATTTGTAGAAATGTCTGATGGAGATATGCATGCAACTTGCATTAGCGCAACAAGACCAGACTGAAGGTATAAGTGAGAAGGTAAATGTTTGATTGCTTTCGTCTCATTCCAATGTGTTTTAATGATTAAACACTGTTTAATCTGCATGAGTTTGGGTGAAGACATCATGAAATAATGTTTTGACTTCTGCTGCTATTCCCCTTTGTTTTTTAGTTGTTAAAGCTCTGAAACTATCACTCATTGTGTCCGTGTCCCATTTTTGAATCACATTGGTCCATCTGAATATTATTGATATTTGATGTGATTATTAAAGATTCACCAGTGTGCTAAAAGAGTGACAGTAACAGATGCTCTGATTTTTATATGAAGTTATGATACAATTCCTGATAGATTCTCCTGTAACGACTGATTCAAAACAAAGCACCAAATTGAAGACAAACGAAGGTGAGGTCTGTATGAATTGGGGGTTGTTATTTCAAACCACAGCTGCTGTATTTTACACCCAGATAATTCACTAAACAATAAAGGTTTATATCAAATGTTTTCAGTAGAATTGGGTGTCTAACGATGGCCAAAGAAGATGAACCGGGGTGGTGGAAAGCAACTCAAGTCTTTATTTCCTTAATATTTACTTGGTGTGTGTGTTTGTGTTCTTCACTTGCCTTTGTGTGTTTTTTTTTCCTTGAATGTACTTACAAATTAATGTCATTGTATTAGTTATTATTGAAAACTGTATTGTCATTTTGCCTTCCCTAGCCAACATAAAGTCTTTTTTTTTCCCTATCTGTCATTCTTATCATTTTTGTCTCAAACTTTTCAGGAACAATCTTTAATTAGGAAAAACCATCTGAATATGACTGACCCAAAGCATTATATATGCACATTTTAGTACATTTAATTTGGTCTCTGTGGCTGAGAGGGTTAAAGGACCTTAAAACTTCTGCAGCTTTGAAGCTCATTGGATTTAAGGCAATCTTTACATTTTACAATCTTAATATTTTAATTAACCATAATAGATTGCTATTTGCAATACATGGACTACAACTTTTGTCCAATTCGAAAGTACACTGCTGTTCAAATGTTTGAGATCAGTACGATTTGTAATGTTTTTGAAAGAAGTCTCTTCTGCTCATCAAGGCTGCATTTATTTGACCAAAAATACAGAAAAAAACTGTAATATTGTGAAATATTATTACCTTTTAAAATAATGGTTTTCTATTTGAATATACTTGAAAATACAATTTATTCCTTTGATGCAAAGCTGAATTTTCAGCATCATTACTCTAGTCTTTAGTGTCACATGATCCTTCAGAAATCGTTCTAATATGCTGATTTATTATCAATGTTGGAAACAGTTGTGCTGCTTAATATTTATTTATTTATTTGGATCCCGTGATACTTTTTTTTTTAAAGATTCTTTGATGAAAGAACATTTTTTTTTAGAAAATAGAAATAGAAAATAGAAATTGTCTAACAATATAAGTCTTTATTATCACTTTTTATCAATTTAACACATCCTTGCTGAATAAAAGCATTTATTTAAAACATAAAAAAAAGGCCTACTGAATGAACGGTAGTGTATATTGTTACAGAATATTTCTATTTTGAATAAATTCTGTTCTTTTTAACTTTTTATTCATCAAAGAATCCTGAAAAAAGTATCACAGGTTCCAAAAAAAATATTAAGCAGCAAAACGGTTTCCAATATTGATGATAAATCAGCATTTAAGAATGATTTCTGAAGGATCATGTGACACTGAAGACTGGAGTAATGATGCTGAAAATACAGCTTTGCATCACAGGAATAAATTATATTTTTAAATATATTAAAATAGAAAACCATTATTTTAACTTGCAATAATATTTCACAGTATTACTGTTTTTTTCTGTATGTTTGGTCAAATAAATGCAGCCTTGGTGAACAGAAGAGTTCTTAAGAAACATTACAAATCTTACTGATCCCAAACTTTTGAACGGAAGTGTAGGTAGTTGTATTCCTTGTTTAGCAAACTCAAATTCATGTTTGAGTTACGACCAATGTCTGTGTTATTAGTGTAGCCTACTTTATGAAACTGTCTTCAAGTAGCCTAATGATAACCACAGATCTTATTTTATTCATATCCAAAACCTCTATTTTAAAACCCCACAGAAAAATCCTGAGGGAACACCAATGGCTTGAATAAATTTGATTAATAATAATAATAATAATAAATTAATCCAATTGGTCTCAGACTTTACATATATATTATGTAAATATTTTTATTGAATTTTTGAATTGTAAAAGCGTTTCAAAAAGTATGTAATGGACCAGAGAGTGTGTGTGGCGCTGGCTGCCTTCAATTGAAGAGGAATCTCCCCATTCATGTAATTTTTCTTCTTTTATTTGAATAAATGCTATTTTCATATGTCCAGCCAAACGTCCTCTGATTGGTCCATCCCTTAAACACACGCTTCTGATTGGCCGGCTGTTCCCATGCAGATTTTTTTCCTTTGAGAATGCGCTTGGTGAATGGCCGCGCGTCGTAACAGCGTCCGGTGAATCTGATTGGTCGAAATCGTCGGGGCGTTTCATTCTGATTGGTTGACAACCGATGCCCGGTGTCCGGGTAAGATGGCGTCGGAAGAGCAGTGCTCGGCACCACCTGGATGGCGGTCGATATCCTTAACCCACGTAGAGTATCCGGCTGGTAAGAACATTTTTAAATCGTTGTTTCCCCCGCAAAGCCGTTCGTATCATCACACGACACTTTATTCGCGCCGCGGCGTCTGTAGAACATCGCGTAGCTGAATGGACGCGGCCAGGGCTGGGTTGCCAAATAGTGCGCTTCATTCCGCAGGGAACGGAACGCCTGCTGCCAAATAGTGCGCTGGTAGTCCTGTACGCTCCCTAGTACACCACACCGCGAGACCCTTATTCAGTTTCTCTCTTTATTATTAAAACGTTAATCTAATTCAAGCATGATTCGACAAGCCTGTGACCAATACTAGCATTATATGCAGGTGATCGCGTCTAATACAGGCACATGAGACCCAACTGCTCATGTAAGTTTCAGGCAAGACTCGTGGCTCTAGTGGGTTATTCCAGTTCATTCCCGGTTGCATCACACCCTTTCTGGGTCCCGTCGTTCGTGAGGGTCCCCCTGGAGTT